GATTCTGCAAGACTGAAGGTGACTGTTTGTTGTCCAGTGGGCAATAAATACAGTGCAGTTATATGGTGGAGTCAGTGAGTGATTTACATACAGATTACTGTGCACAATGGGGTGTGCAGCAGCAGCGTTGTGTAGCCACAGAAGTGACTATGGAATGAGAACAGAGACATTTACTAACAAGTAAAACACCGAAAGAGCCACCGGAGAAGAAACTCCTTCAAGTCAGCAAATACAAAGGTGGTTCAGAGAAATTCTGCAGTACCGGTAATGCTACGCTCATCTTATTGGTTCTGATTTAAATTAGCTGAGACTAAGTGCTGCAGGAAGTCGTGGATACACAGTAAATCAGATGCAGAGAGAGAAAAGGCACTTTTACCAACTTATTACATATGGAGAGAGCACAATTACATTCCTGATGTGCAGTCTTGGTGATTTATAGATGAGTCTCTCGCTCAGAGGGTCTCGGAAAGGTGATCTGTTGCAGAGGCAGGCACAGGTAATTTATTCTATTCCCAAGTTTGCCATTTACTTCCCCCCACCCCAACCACTTGCGCTGACAAGATTTATTCAAACAATAGCGGCATTATGCTGTTATGCTGTAAGTCTAACAATAAGAAAGAAAAAAGATTTGGACATACATATAAAAGTTCTAGTACCGTGGAACGGTTCTGTAGCTTATGTTCATATTCAGGAGGATGTTTTTAATTAAATGTAGGATTTCGTTCTCGGTTTCATTCTTCTGACTCTACCGTGTAAAAAACACGAGTGGAGATTTCATTTCGTGAGTTGCATCAGAAAGCCAACAAGGCATCTAGAAGTCTGTTCAAATTGAAGAAAATAACAGCAGTGTCATTCCAACACTTAGAGTAATGGTCTGTTTACATGCAATAATTAATTTTGCAGTACATGAGGTGTGTAATTAGATGTTTGAAATCCCCTTATTTATGTTGAGCGGTGTCAAACCTCGATTAACCGCTGTCCCTGCTAACAAGCATGCTGTGAATATGGGAAGCTGGATATGACATTAAAGAGTGTAAGGTGACACGATTTTGAAGGATTATTGATTTGGGGGGAGTTATATTTCTTCCGCTATGTGACAGGTGATTGTCAGTAAACAGTGTAAGGTGATATTTTACTGCAAACTGTTTGCGCAAGACAGATTCACCTAGCATGTGTATTAGCATGCTGGTATGTTAAAATGTGAAAATGATCCCTCATTGCAGTGGGAAACAGAAGATAAGTACAGTATGTCTTTAAGCTGCGATAGATGCTTCCTAAGCAGGATAGTTTAACTAAGACTAGCTCCCATTAAAAATGCAATAATTTGCACACCCTACAGTGTAAGGACTATAGGCTGCTGTGACTGGAACAAAATATAAATGATGACAATCATCAACCTCCCTACGATTCGTGCTTTCTTCAGCTCCAGAAGGCTTGAGGATTAAAGTTAAATTCTTAGACGCCAAAAACTGAACTTATCCTCCACATTACGCCACAGTGAAATTGATGTTGTCAGCCTTCTTTAAGTGCAACCTCCACAAATGTTTTGGAGGTGGGTGTATTTAGGTTTGAAGTAAAGTTAAGCTTTTACTGCAAAACATGCCTGAAAATCTGCTGCTGCTGTAGTTTGTGCTCTCCGGAAATAATTCCAGTGGTTTTGCGGCTGAGCTTGTGATATGTGGCTGACTGCCTCGATTTGTTGGGTCTGAGCTATTACTGAGACTACAAACAATTAATTTTGTTGAAATGGCCAGTTGTTGAGCGTAAACTTTTGTAGTAGTTTTTAGCGCCGCTCTTCTACCACATCTATCTAAAAAAAGTTAGCTGGCTCGTCTCTGTTAGGAAGTGATGTTTGACGCTTTGATTGTAAAATTATGAGAAACGACATATTTCAGTGTAATTTTCTTTCAGGCTGATGTCTTTGGGGTTGGCACAGAGGATCATGTGCCTCTGTCTCACCCCAACCTTTAATCCGTTTTGCTCACACCAACCCTCTTGCATGCCCTCCTGCATGACATCCTACTCTCTCTCTCTCCATCCGAGCATGCTTTCCCCCTCTCCTCCTTTGTCTTTGCCTAACAATAGCACAGCTTCCGTTGACACCCTGCTGATCAGCAGCACTGGTGGCAGTCTTGTTAACCCAGGCTTCAACAGATCCAGTATAGAAATCTCATTGTCAATGATCTGCATATTTTATTTGGCAAAGATTTGATACCGAATGCCTTTCCTGGGCATTTGCAACCCTTCCCATGTTCCCCATTTATCTTGGCTTGGCACTGTCATTAGGAGCACATTGGCTTTATGGATGACAAGCCTCCTCCCTCCACCAAATTCATAATAATTTCATAATGGATTGATTAAATATGCTACAAATGATTGCTTTTTATGATTATAAATAATTTAGTCTAAACACACTAGCAGGTCTAGCATATAGTATATTTCTCAAACAGTGGGAGATGTAGTTAATCTATTTTTACATAAACACCCTAAAATGCTGAAGAAGGAATTAAAGTAAACACTTGACTAAACTGCTGAGAAAAAATCTCTCTTAACAGGAAGTATCTTTCAGCACATTCAGGCCCATGGAGGGTAGCAATTTTCCACAACAATTTGCTGTGTGAGGGGCAGAGAAAAAAGCACAGATGTGCATAACAGAACAAACAGTACAAGCTACAAGACAGGAATCACAAAGTTACTGATATGCAACAGTGGCACATAAATACATGGAGAGTGAAGGAGAACCGCTCAATGCATGATGGGAGGTCCCCCAGCAGACTGAACCAGTCGCACCAAAACCAAGAGATGCTTCAGGGTCACCTGATCCATTAGATTAAGAAATGGCTTGCCAATAACAGCAATAACACACCATGTCAAAGTTAACATTTCTTTGTCAGCCTTAATAATGCAGACAGGAGCTGAACAGAAAACATTCAACCAGAATGAAGTGGACGTGCTCCACGTCTCAGAAATATTTCATACTCTACCAGCAAGAACAATCAATATGTTTCTACAGAGGAGAATCCATGAGAAGAGACTGTCAGTTTGCAACTAATACCGTAAGTCACATACGAACCCTGCGTTCTGTATTAAGTAATGAATCTAAAGTAACAACACAGGAAATTGGAAAGTAATTAAGCATTTCTGCAAATAGCTTTTGCTTTTTTTCATACAGTAGTTGGAAAACTGCCTTTTTGCGTATTTTGTATATTTTGCTAAAACAAGGCCCTAGTCAGTATGCAAGCACATGCAGCACAACTTGTACCAATTTGCAAAGCAAGCACAATTTTACCTGAGTTTTAGAATTATTACCGCTGCTTTGCAAGGGATTTGTAGTAACGCAACAGGCAAAGCAAATTACATCTTTCCACAGATAATTGATCTGAATTTCATACACCTGTAATTGCTGCTTGTGCAAAACACCTCTGTGTTCCTGTTTTTGTGCCGCACCTTCCCTGCTTTTTTCTCTACCTTCTCTCAAAGGTCCCGTCAATCCTCAGTGAGGCTTTGCCCAAATCGCAGCCTTTGACCTTGTTGCTTCATTATCAATAACTGTTTTTCATTCATATTTGTGGAGTGTGTCCTTGCTAGCAAATAGTAATTTCAAATTGGAATTTTAGCCAATGCCATTTTTGAATTAAGCTGTAATTAACCCCTTAGCAGTCCAATTAGTCCCCTAAACCATCCAATGTACCGTGGGCGGTACGTCCGACTGCTAACAGGTTAAGCTTAAATACCATCAATACAAATATTTATCTTGGTCTTTGCAGTTATTTCAATCTGATTTAGCTTTATTAAAATAGTACTACCTGCGCAAAGGACAATTTGAGAACCGGGTATGGAATAAGTATGTTTTTTTAAATGAAAAAAATCTATTATGCATCATGGAATAAAACAATATGACAAAAGAAGTGGCTGAAATTCGACATCAAGCAAGAATGGGAAACCATTTTGCTTTTAAAAACTATAGCAATTGGTTTCGTCAGTTCCCAGACGCTTACCAGAGTGTTGTTAGCAGAAGAGGTGATGCAACACAGTGGCAAACATGTCCTTGCACTGACTTTTTTACTGGCATAAAAAAATCAGAGAGCATTAAGATTTCTTAGTTTCAACATTTTCAACATGTTGCCGTCAATTAAGTTTAATTACTTTGCAAAACCATGTATTCCTTTTTATTAACATTTTACGCAGACTCTCACCTTTTTTCTGAAAACTGTAAGAAGAAAATGCCATTCAGTCTCTTTGCGACTCTGCGGATGACAGTTATCGTTAATTGAGTTGGGCCACTCAGCGTCTGAGAGTGTGTCCCTTTGAGCTAAGATCAGCAGTTAACAGAAGTTAGATGACCTGATGACGGTAAAAAATGAATCTCCTCATGTGGCTGACCTCTCCACCTTCTTCTGAAACACCCCGATCCTTTGATACAAGTCTCTATGGAGACACGAAGGCTTCTCATTGGCTGAAAAAAGTTTTGTTTGATAACTGATACCCGGTCAATACAGAGGTGATAACTGGTAATAGAACAAAACAAATTTAAAAAAAAGCTGGAAGGTGATAATGAGAACTGGGAGGAAAAGAGCGAAACCGACAAAAGGTTCATACATTATTATCACATTTTGAGAATAAATTCATTGACTGCATTCCCCCAAAATTGGTAGCCTTAGGGACAAAATGCTCCAAGATCCCAGAAAAAGGCTGCGCAGTCTAAATATTTATGTGCTGTGTGGATTGTTTTGTGAAAAATATGTTGATGTTAGGAAGCTGTTGCTCTCAAAATATAACACAAGCACCAAATAATCTTTAACTGAATAAAAAAAAACTATATTTATTTAATTATACTCAGCACCGAATAAAGAAACCACCATCTTGTTATTATTAATTTCTACTTTTATTAAAACATCATTGACCTCCAACATGTAAAGAATGTACATAATAATAATAATAATAGTAATAATAATAATAATAATGAACTGAATAACATCTGAAATGTCTTTTTTCTGTGTTATTTTATTTCTTTATGTTTGTCAATTCTCTTGTGAGGCATACTTGGGATTCTCAAGGCTTGAGATAGTTTTAAAGGAATGTACAGTACAGGAAACAAGGAGTATCTTTCCCCCATCGTCTTATTTCGCTTCTGACATCTACATGTTTTTGTTTCATTTGCAGTTCGTCACACCCATCAAACACTTTCATCTGCTCCAAAACAGCTTGAAATAGGCTAAACCTCCCGTGGTCAACACGCAAGCCCTTCAGACATACACACTCTCGCGTGCACGCATGCACACAAACACATATCGTTTCACTTTAACGCACTCTGGGATGCCTGCAGTGGATGGTATAGTGATTTGCTCAGACTTTTGGTCTGTAGCATTTCCCACAGAGAACCTTCCTCAGCAGACCCAAACATAGAAGCCATCAACCTTGCTCTAGCACAGATAGCCAGAACAGATCGCCTCTCATGAATGACCCTTGTCACTCTCTGCTCCTCTTTTCCATCAGTGCTTCACGCTGAGTGGTATGTCCTTTGGTGCTGGAATTCAAAGGAAATGCCACAGATGCACTGTCATAAAAGTGACCTTCAAAAAAAAAAAAGCAAGATACTCACTGAAGGGGAACCAGCTGTCCATTTTACACGACTTAATGTCACTGGTCAGAGCCGTGTGGAGATTGTCTCTAAATAAAGTTTGAACTTTTAAAACATTTGAGACAATTAAAAACACAACAGCACGATAAAAACTTTTGTTTTGACTTGAAAAGTCTGCTCGCTGCACTCAGTCAAGTGTAGGTTTACAGTATATTCTGACAGGCAGGTGATGCTAGAAATCTCTTTTATGGTTTCACAGCAGTTCGTGTGGGCTTGACAAGAGCAGAATATCATCCTGTCATGCAGCTGATTTCTCTATTCTCTGTCCTCCACTCCTAGAGCTTCCACTTATTTTGTACTGTTGCTGAGTCTAGCGCTGGCGGTCATGTGTCGATGACATCCTGCGCCGGTGAAGGTTCGTGTGGCAAACTGGTGGCGTTGGGCAGTGGCTGTGTGTGGCTGACTGAGTTCTGCTGCAGCTCTAGTGCCATTGCATTCTGTGGGTGGGGGAACTCTTTCACCTGTCTGCGATACTCCAGGAAGGTGGAGGCCTTGGTCGCGATGGCCACCACGTTCTTCCCGACGAAGATTGTGGAGACCCGACTGTCCTGAAACAACACCATGTTTACACCACGTATTAGGATAGTGACCACGTTAATGGTGACCAGGCTTAGGACTGGGTACAGCATCATTTTCTGGGGTGACATGTGCTCCCCTTGCATGCTGATTTCACTGAGCGACACACAGGGCAGAATAAGCAGCAGGATGTAGCAGTAGAAGAACATCAGGCCCTCAGCCCAGATGGGCAGGCCTGTCCGCTGGGGCTCCCACAGGTTAGCTTGGATATCTAGCAGGTCCAGAAGATCCAGAGCCACCCAGAAGAGACGACTCCTCATGTCCTCCTTCTTCCGGAAAGTTCTCACATATTCCATGCTATCCAGAGCCACTAAAACTAAGTATAACCCAGGCACACACACGGATAATAGTAACGTCAATGCTTTCCGTGCTACTGTCTCCAGACTTTTCCTGTCAGCCTTGCAATTCTGGAAGACAAAGTAGAGTTTGATCTCCAGCACAAAGATGTACAGAAACCACAGGATCATGGCGTATCCTCGTCGGGCGGTGCGCACCTCAGCACCGACCCAAACTGCCACATATCGTAGTACTATGAGAAAGCACACATCCCCGACTAGCACTATTATGCACACACCGATTTTCCTGGGACCCTGGTTCTGCTCCACCAGGTAGGCATCCATGAAGGCCATGCTGGTCATGATGACGATGGTGGTCAGGCAAACGTGGCGTTTGT